CACTATATATATATATATATATATATATATATATATATATATATATATATATATATATATATATATATATATATATATATATATATATATATATATGCGGAAGATAGCACATAATTAAAAAAAATCATATAAACAGAGGTGGAGTTCAAGCTTATGGGTTTGAGATTCTAATCGTTTGAAGTTACTGGTTCTAAATAAAGAAGGAATTTTTACATTCCTATACCATATAGGAAACCTTATTACCCTCAATGTTTAAGGTTTGATATAATTACATTTAGTATACCAAATTACCAATTCTATACCATAGTGTATTTTAAGGGTACAATTAATGCAGCGTATATCCCTCATTAATTCAAGGTATCGTATATCCCACCCCTCCCACGTTTCTCTCTCCTAAACCCTCACCCTCACCCACGTTTATGTACTGTTATTAAACATAAAAACCTATGATTATGGAAACATAGATTTGCAGTATTAGGTTTATGTAGTCATCAGTTCAGCTCCAAGTCCAACACTTCATTTTTCCCAGGTCGTTAAAGTCATCTTTGCAAACACCGGTGTGGTTACCATCCTGGACTAGAAATCTTTAGATCTAATAGTCTAATACTATCACAAACCTAAAAATCCAGAAGTAGCAAAACAATCTCCATTAGATAATAGATTCTACATGTATAAATGGGAAAGAGGGAAAGAAAATGCATTTACGGAATAATGGTAAATAGTAGGGACTGTCTAAAAAACCTCAAAGAACCATTTACGAATTAGGATTATACTTGATATATATCATGATATTAAAGTATGAGATCACATAGGAAAAGATTCAATCAAATATGAAGTTTTCCAAGTTTGACTACTCCTCAACAGCCAACAATCCCATTCAATTGTAGCTTAATTGGTATTTTCGACATAATTGTATTTTTTGCAGAAAATTTATAGAAGTTTTAGTCGTTTTGGATTTGTGAAAACAGAAAATAATACATTTACAATCAGAATACAAATAATCTACAATTCATTTACAAAATATCTACAAACTGAGTATATTGAATTTTAATATCCAAATTCCCATTCGATTGTAGTTTAATTGGGATTTTCGACATAATTGCATTTTTTGCAGAAGATTTGTAGAAGTTTTAGTCGTTTTTGACTTGTGAAAACAGAAAACAAAGCATCTACAATTAGAATACAAATAATCTACAATTTATCTACAAAATATCTACAAACTGGGTACATTAAATTTTTATATCCCAATTCTCATTCAATTGTAGCATAATTAAGATTTTTGACATAATTGCGTTTTTCAGAAGATTTGTAGAAGTTTGCCGTTTTTTATTTATGAAAACAGAAAATAAAGCATCTGCAATCAGAATACAAATAATCTACAATTTATGCAATATGTCTTCTTCTTCTTCTTCTTCGAGTTTCAATCTGAAATTCAGTCAAAACCAAGTTTAATCTTCACCAAAACCCCTCAAAATTGAGATATAAACTCCAAACCATATTCCCGATTATTTTCAACAACACCCAATCCAAACAAATAATAATTTTTGAAAACCCAAATTTGAATTCAAAGCTTTCAAGCTTTTTAATGGTTGTCAATGGTGGAATTGCTGCTCTCTTTTCATTTGCTTTGTATTACTGAAATTTGCGATTGAGAAATAGAGAGATGTAGAGAGAATGTCGACGAACTGAGCTTTTGCAGAACTGATTTCTACAATTTGAAATTGAGCTTCTGATTTCGACGAACTGAGCTTTTGATTTGTGGCTTAAGGGAAAATATCGAAGAACAGAGTTTTTGCATTAAAGAGTCTATGTAATTTGATTTTAAATTGAAGATAAAGGATTTCCGTTTCAAATTTGATCTGAATGTCGCTAAATCAATTAGAATATTTTGTTTCTGAATTTTAGTGCGCCTAATTAGGAAGATTCAACTACTAATAATTAGTATTTAATGAATTGTATAATAATTGTAGAAAAAGTGTGGACATGGCGGGTAAATTAGAAACTATGCACATATTTGGTAATAAAGTTTCATATATGGTGTAGGAAAGAAAAAATCTCAATAAATAATATATACGTATTCAATGAAATTTTAAGATAAATACAGGGTTCGAACCAAAGTTATTGGGTTCGACCGAACCTGTTCCGATCACTCTAGCTCTGGCCCTGCATTTAAGCGGTGTTACTAGTAGGAGAAGGATTCGCCTTGGGAAAAAACTTTTATTACTGTTATTATTATAATTATTTTTCATTTCGCTTTATGTAACATAATTTGGAATACGTGGTTCACGTTGATTAGTTTTTAGAAATAAATATTTTAAATAAAATTCATATTCAAAATTACATAAAAAATATTATAAGCCACAATAGTTAATAATTTAAAATATTTAAAAAGAACCTTCTTTGACTTTTTAAATAGTAAATCTATCACATAAAATAAAATAGAGAGAGTGTTATTTATATATATTTAATTTATTTTCAAATTTTATTATTTAGTATAATAATGATTTAAATTTGTTGGACTTTAAGCCATTGGGCTTTAAAGTAGAAGAAGTGTGAATTGGAAATGGAGGGAAATAAAATGGAGGGAAATCGAAAATTTGAAGAAGTGAACTTTTGTCTTGCACTTTGTCCCTCATTGGTGAGGGACAACCACATTTGTGTGCTTATATATAGAATCACTTCTTAAAGCTCTTAAAAGGAGTTGAAGAGTATTAACCCTTGCGCCGTCGTCGTCGCTCGCTCGGCTCGGCTTCGGCTTCGGCTTCGGCTTCGGATTTGTCAAATGATCGATCAATAAGATTATTTTTGGACAAAATTTATTTAATTATTTAATAATTAATTAAATGCCAAATCACTGCTGAAAATACGTCAGAACCCTGCTGAAGGTTCAGAGGGCCTCTCTGGCCGCGGTTCTGTCGCGACCGCGGTAGAACCGCGGCAGGCAGGTTCAGAAAGCCTCTCTGACCGCGGTTCTGCCGCGACCGCGATAGAACCGCGACAGGCAGCGTATTCTTCTGAAAAGGCACCTTTTCCAGACACCTCTTCTGATAATTGCCTATAAATTCTGAGGCAAGGCTCCATTTTCTACACACGAAAAACACTCCAGAACTTCTTTCTTTCTGAATATACTGCATCCTAATTCGCAGTCTCTCTCTCTCAAATTCGTAAGTGTGATTTTGCTCCGTTCTTTGAGTTCGTTGGTATCCTGCAGTTTGTATTGCCACTGTTGCAGGAAGGTTTATTCCGTTTTATTCTGGGAGGATTTAATCCATTACCTTGGCAATGTGTGAGGGGGTTAAAATTCCTTAAGGACACACAAGAAAATTATGGACTCGGAATATTTCTTAAACTCTTCTGTTTTTCCAATTTCTTTTATTTTGCTAACAATTTTTTCTGATTTTGTGTTTTAACACAATAACGCTCACAAAATTGAGCTTAAATAAAAAAGTGATAGTTGACGAAGTCAATCCCAGCCCTTTTTGTGGGACTAATAGCCTCTTTGGCGGCCAAGCTTCTAAAATAAGGCTATTTTGAAAGTACTTTTCTCAAAAATATTTTTAAAAAAAGTAGTTTGTATTTGACTAATTAATTTAATTTGAGCATAATTAATATTTGATCAAACTTCTAAAAAATACTGCTAAGTGTATTTTTCCTAAAAAAACTTTTCAAAAAAACTTGAAAATATATTTTTTTATTTTGAGAAACCTGGCCAAATGTCTTAATTTTTGATAAGAAAAATACTTTTAGCCAAAAGAACACTTTTGGCCACACAGGCTATAAGCCGTACAATGAATTATTATGTGAACAGGCTATATTTCATCACATGTTCTTTGTTTTTTCCTGCCCTTCTTTTCTTTGGTTACTGATCAACAAAGTACTTTTCGAGAGGTACGAGTACCAACTTGGTGAGCTATAAATAAGGACTGACCTCTGGTATAATGGTTGGCTAAGAGCGTGACAAGTACACAGAAAATGAACAAGACGGTGATATTGGTAACCGGAGCTTCTGGTTACCTGGGTGGACGGCTCTGCCACCAGCTATTCAACGCTGGCCACCATGTTAAGGCTTTCGTTCGCCATACAAGCAACCTATCTTCTCTACCTCCGCCTACTGATGGCGGAAGCGGCGGCGGAACCTTAGAGCTTGTGTTTGGAGATGTTACAGATTATCAGTCACTCCGTCAAGCCTGCTCCGGTTGCCACGTCATCTTTCATGCTGCTGCAGTGGTCGAGCTATGGTTTCCTGATCCATCTAGATTATTCTCAGTGAGCACAATATATAATGCGTTTCGCCAGAAGAAAAATTTTTATTCGTAGAAATGTTTTACTTTAAAAAGTGTTGGGGCAGAAAATAGGTTACACGTCGTAATTAGTGGGCGTTTGGACTTAAGAATTGTAAAATTTCAAAAAGGGTGAAAAAAAATTCAAATGAAAATGGTATTTTAAATTAGAGTTGTGTTTGAACATGAATACAATTTGGGTTGTTTTTAAAGTTTTGTGAGTGATTTGAGTGAAAATTTTGAAAAAGAGTTTTTTGGAGTTTTCAAATTTTCCAAAATTTTCAAAATGCATCTTCAAGTGAAAATTAAAAATTATATGAAATAACGCTGATTTCGAAAAAAGTGAAAATTTTTTGAAAAAAGAGAAAAATTTCTTATGTCCAAACGGCTCTTAAACATATACAAGTAGATGACAGTGGAATAATAAGGTATAAAAATTAGTGTTTTTATTAGGATATAAAAATTCTGCTCACGTGGTATTCTCAATTTATGTGGCTATATTTTACTGAATATGGAATTTAAAAAATAAGATTTTTTTTTTGAAATTTGTGATCTAAAACAAGCATTGCACATTTGTGTGATTATGAATCTATCACAATATTTGTATGTAAATAAGGAAGTATAACTTTTTTTTTAGCACATATTAAAAAGGAAAGTATGATACCTAAATTAGAACTAATAGAGTAGTGTTTTTGTGATATTTATGAGGATTAATTGATGGTGCAATGATAGCCTATAGGAATAGTCTATTATGATACTCTCTCCTTCCACTTTTACTTGGCATGTATATTAAAAATAGATTTTAACTTTTACTTGTCACTTTACGCATATCAAGAGAAGATAAAAAAAATTTCCTATTATACCCGCAATATTTATTACTCATTTCAAAATCGTTTTCTCGAATCCGATAAAATATAAATCAATTAATATGGGTATCATGGTAAATTATGCACTTCATTTATTATTTCTTAGGGGCATGAAAAGTCAAAACGTGCCAAGTAAAAGTAAACAGAGGGAGTATTACTGAGTATTAAATGATGGTGGAATTGTTGTGTGGGATACTTTTAAGTATTCATTGAAGCTTCTTTTAGACTTATCAATGTTATTGCACTGCATCTATAGGTCAATGTTGGAGGGTTGAAGAATGTGTTACAAGCTTATAAAGAAACGGGAACTATAGAGAAAATTGTGTACACATCGTCGTTTTTTGCCTTGGGATCAACTGATGGATATGTTGCCGATGAAACTCAGGTATAAAAGCTGATTTACTGTGATAGTTGAGATGGTTCACGTTTCAGAGCAAGCAAAGTCTTGTTTTTTTGAGTCTCATCGTCACCTATAAACTAATATATGTCCCAAAAGAAGAGGCCCGAAAACTATATGTATATTTTGTATGATGGTGGTGCTGGGGATAAGTATTACGTGGGCAGATGGGAAGAAATCAACTATATATTTTTACCTATATATTTTTTGTCTTTACCGGTACTTAAGCCTGAGACTTCATGGTTGTCGCCCACTTCATTGACCATTAAACTACATCCTTGGGTGCAAATGTTTGACTTATATTTTGGAATACAGACTCATACTGGAAAGTTCTTCTGTAAGGAGTACGAGAAATCGAAAGCTGTTGCTGATAAAGTTGCATTAGATGCTGCGTCTGAAGGAATTCCGATAGTGCCTGTTTATCCAGGACTCATATATGGTCCTGGAAAGGTCACGGATGCAAATATCGTTGCACGTATGGTAAATATTTCATCCTTCTTCCTCTCCCCTTCATGGATTCAGCTTGATGTTTGGAACTAAATTATCTTTCAATTGATGGTTAGGATCAAAATAACTCGTTTTTAATGCTGTGGATTTTGGAGATAGCTATATATTGGCAATGTTTTTGTAGTCAATTTAAAACTTTAATATGTTCTGTCAATTCATGCATAATGACTGCTCACCCAAGACTAAAACATTTCAATGATGCCAAACTCCTCATTCCTGTAAGAGGCGTGGTTGTTAATTAATTCTGTTTCCTTGAAATGAGAAGGAAGAAGACGAGGAAAGCTGGTAAAAAGGAGATAATCAGGAATTTTGCATTTTTGCCTGTGAATTAAAAGGAAAAATTCCTCGATGAAATTTTTTAAAGGATGTTATTAACCAACTAGGAGTACTATTTTTCTCCTCTCTATTTTTTCGGAGTAGGGATAAGGTCTGCGTACACACTATCCTCTCCATACCCCACCCGTAAAATTTCACCGAGTTGTTAGTTGTATTAACCAACTAAAGAATGTTAGAATTAAGTGCCACACACAAAAACTTAGGACTCTGCATCACCTTGTCTTTTGATACGTTACCTGTCAACGGAAGAAAGAGAAAACAATGCTTCAGGTCATTAATGCTTATGCTTTGATGGTACTCTCTCCGGTTCACAATAAGTGTCCAATTTACTTTTAGCATGCCCATTAAGAAAATACTAAATTCTAAACAAAAATACCTACTATGACTAAACTATCCCTAATTAAACATTTAATGTGAGGAGTAAGAAAACTTTTTAGGGATATGTACATAGGGGTTGTTTTGTAAAAACAAATTGAATTCTTTCTTGATTACATAACTGGACACTTATTTTGAACCAAAATGAAAAAGCAAATTGGACACTTATTGTGAACCGGAGGGAGTAGGATTTAGCAATTTTACTGATTAGCTGCTGTACATATCAAATTTATGTGGTATTGAGGGTAGACATCAACATTTTATCGGATCAAGGCCATATGAATTTTGGGCTAAATCCTAAATTCAAGACATTACAGTAAAAATAGCACGGTATAGCCAGTTTTCGAACTGGTCATTCAAAAATAGTCAACGTTTACCAAGTCAATGAAAAATAGCCACTATTTTGCTGCAACAAAGTCCGGTCCAGCATAATATACTAGTTCGGTGCACCTGTGTATGAACTCCAGCATATTATGTTGAAACCGGTATACTTTGCTAGCTCCAGTATAATATACTGGATACTGGAGCACTGGTGCTCCAAACTCCAGTATATTATGCTGGAGTTCTAGTGTACTTACGCTGGAACTCCATCATATTATGCTGGAGTTCCAGCATACTTATCCTGGAACTCCAGTATAATATGTTGGAGTTCAAGTATACTTATGATGGAACTCCAGCATAATATACTGGCGTATTTTTCGGGTTTTGAACAGTGTTTTCGCTCAGATTTATCTTTACATGAAAGTGGCTAAATTTTGATAACTTTTGAAACTAGGCTATTTTTGAACGACCAGTTGTAAATCTGGCTATTTTTGAATTTCTCCCGACATTACAAGACTGACTTTTGAAATTTTAGGGTCCATTAGGATTATTTGGAGGCTACTTTACAAAAACTTTAACTTGGAGGCTACTCTACCCTAACCATAGGTCACTCCTATAAAAAGGGTCCTTTATAAAAAGATCTCGAAAATTGAGGTCATCTCAATCAGTGACGGACCCAGGATCTTGTGCTAGCGGGTTCAATCTTTGAAGTGCATAACTTTAGTCTTAAGATAGTAGTTGTCAAGTGGGTTCAAATAAAATATTTATACAAAATTTACGCAGCTTTAATCGTAATTTATACATATACACAGTATTATTTTTTGATGAAGCGGGTTCAGTTGAACCCACCTGCCGCCACGTGCGTCCGCCACTGATCTCAACAATTCCATTAGTTCTTGGAATATGCACAAAGAGATAAAATAAACGATCTCCGAAATTCCATAAAACTCTTGGAATATTCATTAAGAGATCAAAGACATGTCAAATATATCTTGCTCAAAGTTCTAGCAACATTCAGGATCTAAATGAAGTGCTTCTACCTGCTTCTTGATCATCATATATCAAGGAGATTCATATCATTTTACGTTCGAGAAATACGCCGCTAAGACGCTCGAATTACGGATAACAAATTGGATGAAAGAATCAAGGGATAAACACATCTGTAACCTGCAATGTTTATCAATAATTTTTTTTCTTTTTAGTTGTTGTGATTGCAGTTTTATTTTTCTGCACAAATTTATTGCAAACATTGAGTTTCCACATAATTTTTTTGTCAGATAATTGAGCGCTTTAGTGGGCGTTTACCTGGTTATTTTGGGCAAGCAAATGAAAGGTTCTCTTTTAGTCATGTTGATGATGTGGTTGAGGGGCATATTGCAGCTATGGAGAAAGGCAAACCAGGTGAAAGGTATCTTCTTACTGGGGAGAATGCGTCATTTAAGCAAGTTTGCGACATAGCTGCCATGATTACTCAGACAAGAAGGCCTTCATTTGGAATCCCCCTACTTATTATTGAAGCCTACGGCTGGATATCAGTTCTTTTCTCCAAATTAACAGGAAACCTTCCTCTAATCAGTCCTACGGTAAGAAACAGATTGACACTTCAAGCTTTCATTTGGTATACTAGTTTTTCTTTAGGAAAGTGTAGCTTTCGGAAGCGGGTTCGGCCGAACCTAGTAGATTTTGTCAAAACTCTATATTTGTTTTTAAAAATTCATTGAATATGTATGAATTATAAATTTAGAAGCCAATAACTTTGAAGGAATAGAATCCCGAACACATTAGATTTAAATCTTGGCTCCGTCGCTTCTTGCATTGGACCTTAATTCTTATCACCTCGTTATACATCATCTTGAACAGATTGTTTCCGCGGTTAGACATCAGTGGGCTTACTCTTGTGAGAAGGCAAAAGCAGAGTTGGATTACAACCCCAGAAGCTTGAAAGAAGGTTAGTCCGAGGTGCTTCCCTGGTTGAAGAGCTTGGGATTGATTGACTACTAACAAATACTAATATTTTTCTCGAGAATTATAGTGTTCACTATTGAATTTGCCGCGCTTTGTGCGGTCACTAAAATAAATCAGTGAATTTTATATTATTTTTGGTTAGCTCCAACACTTGTCATATTATCAGTTGCCCAAAAAATAATTTAAAGGCCAAAAAAAAAAGTTATATTAAGATTACAACGATATATACTTAATAACTTTGCATGTATACAATGGTAACAAATATTTTTTGGTAAAAGTAATAAACATTAATAAAGTAAAGCATATAGATAAAAACTTTGTTGTCGTTCATCCTTGGTAAAATTGCGTTGTCACTATTGTCATTAGATTACGAAGCTTTTTTCCTTTGATAAATTAATTAATCTTTAAATCATCATATAACGTTATATATCCACCAGGCATCATTATACTTCTCCATTGAAGACGACCATAAGTAATTTATCCAATATAATTTCTCATTCACTTTTCCTTTACTAAAATGAACCATGGAAAGTTTACTCACTATCACTCTTTTTATGTGAGTGATGTGATTCATGTAAAATGGAGGATGTGAAGGCAATTCACAATAGAGGATATATTAAGACAATCCCAAGGTTACGTCACACTTTTTGTTCGGCCACAAATTTTCAATTACAGAATCAAGTTGCAATTCTATCACTATTTTCTTATTTATTTTTTTCTTTTTCCTCTTTCTTTATTTCTTTCCGCTACATCTTAGCATAAAAACTTCAGTTATATGCGTATAGATATATTGAATTATGTAAAATTCACACTGTACACCTTCTTCTTCTTCTTTTTTTTTTTTTGTATTTTTTTTTCAAATTCTCATGTATTAATGATAAAGGAAAGAGAAATGGAAAATAAGCCTCAAAAAAGGAAGAATAAGAAAAAGGGTGGAAATTAAAATGAAAGAAGAAGAAGAAGACGACACAAATCCGGATTCTTTTTTCACTTCTGTTTCTCTTTCCTTCTTTTCTGCGTCCTCTCCTAAATTGTTGCTTTCTCCCTCACTAAGAATAAGGGTGTGTTTGGTACGAAGGAAAATGTTTTCCTAGAAAATGTTTTCATGAAAAATGAGTGGTTTTATCACTTATTTTCTCTTGTTTGGTTGGTAAGTGGAAAACAGTTTTCGGAAAATATTTTCTATTGTTTGATTAGAGAGTAGAAAATAGTTTTTTTTAGGAAAATATTTTTTATGCAACTCTCCTCACCCCTCCCCCTCCCCC